ATCAAATTATGCGGAAGTAATATATCTCTCCTTTAATCTCATCTCACCCATCATTTTAAATATGATTCGGATTCAAATTTAAAATCTAATCTCATTATCGTGAAAGTAATATCTCTCATTTAATTTCTCCTCTAATTTTAATTATAACTGAAATTAAAATTTAAAAATTAATCCAATTATGTGAAAGTAAAATATATATATATATATATTATATATCTCATTTTTCCTACACCAAAAATTTGCCTCATTTTCGTTCTTCTCTCCCCCTTTTCCCCAATCATGAAGCTATAATTTTTTCGACTGAAGCTCGCTCCTGGCAGAATCGGCTTTGTCAATCTCGGCTCGGTCAGATATCGATCTCACTCTCGCTCTTACTTGGGGAAAGAGATTACACCAACGATGTCAACCTATCGTAGAGAGGATCGAGACAGTGTCGGTGGCGGCCAAACTAGGTGGTTTGTAAGGAGAACTTAGGCAGGACGTAAGGTTTTTAGAGGGGGAAAGAAAAACATCAGAGAGAGAAAAAAACAAAAAAAAAAAAAGCCTATTTTTGGAAGGAAAGGGTGGGGACTAGGGTATTTAGGTTGGAAAAAAGCTGTAACTAATCCGTGCAGTTTTTAAAAATTTTTTGGTGTCGTAAAATTCTACAAATACTCTATGAATATTTTTGTTCTTATTTAAGAAATTGTTATACAAAGAGATAATATCTCAAATTGTTCAAATTTTTCTAAATTATAATATATTGAGAGAGAGGAGGGCACTTGAAAATATGGCAAAAATTTTTAGTAAAATATGCAAAATAGCAACTACATTTAGTTTTTTCAATATAATATTTTTTTTTCAAAAAAAATAGAGGTCCATTTGTAAAATTACAAATTCACCCTTTAATATATCTAATATATATCTGCAATATATCTGACCACTGATGTATATATCTGATATACTACTGATATAATAATGATATACAATTGATTTACTTATAATATAACTATGATATCTACTGAACTTCTAACATGTCTTACCACTGATATACGTATGATAACCATTGATTTACCACGTTGATACAATAAATATATATGTGATACGTATTAGATATGTCTCTAATTTACCATTGATATACAAATGATATACCACTGATATAACTATGGTATCTACTTATATAACTTCTTATACCATTATATGATCTACCACTAATATAACACTGATATATACTTAATATGATTCTAATTTACCACTTATATACCTTTGATATAACCCATTATATCTACTAACATAACTATGATATATGTGTATTGATATCATACTATTATATCTAATATATTTTTCAGATGAAAACAATGATGCAAGATTTTTTATTTTTTATTTTTGAAATATAAAATTATATAAAAGGTTTATGTGAACCATGCACGTCCAAAAAGACAAGTTAAAATTTTGATATACTTTATAATAGTTGATATCACTTATATTTAGTATCTAATTAATATTAAAATCGAATAAATAATAGTGATATAGTAATCAACATTATTGATAATATTAGTATATTAATCAACAAATTGAAATGATAATCTAGAATTTAAACAGCTGATATACCTTATATTTAGTATATCAGTTGCAAATATATTTAGTAAATCAGTTGGAAATATATTTAGTACATCATAAATATAAGTACATCAAATATATATATATATTATATGTATAATACGTATAATACGTATCAGTGGTATATCTGATAATGTATATCACGATACATCTGATACTACATATTAGGGGTACATCGAATATATATCGGAAGTATATCAGAGTTACATCAGATGTATATCAGATATATATTTGACGTATGATATATATCAGATATAGATTTGACGTATGATGTACATCAGATATACATCAGATATATCATAAGCGTAAAATTGGAATAATAAAAATTTCGAAAATAAAAATTCAAATGTTTTGCTATATTTGAAAATTTGAAAAGATGGTGACAATTTTTAAAATACATAAAATATTTTTGCTACTCGCTGCGGGAGAAAAGAAGAACAATTAGAGGAAGTGAGAGAAAAAAATGGAGGAGAGAGGGAGAGAGACGGGAAGATAATGAAAAAGAGAGAAAAAGGGAAAAGATGGGAGAGAAGAAGAAGAGAGAGAAATTCAAGAAAAAAGTAAYGAGGGACAAATATATAATTTCATACAAAAGTGACGTAAGCAATTGGTTAAAAAAAACCTAAGCTTTATAGGCAACAATCAAATCTACCTTAGAAAGTTAGAAAAATGGAATGGTATTCATGCTGATACTCATTTTGATGTGTCTTTTTTAAAAACTCATGTTTTGTAATTTTTTGCTAACATCACTTTTATGTAAAATTACGCATTTGCCCTGCTTTCAATTTTTTTTTCTTTTCTCACTCTTCTAATGTTCTTATCTCTTTCAAATCCAACATCCAAAAAAATCCCTTTCTCTCTTCTCTCTCCTTCCATTCTTCATCTTCCATATCTTTC